GTATAACCATCTTTTAAATAAAAGCAAATCAATTCGATCGTGTGCTGTGTGTTCTCAGAATATCATACCTGAAAGCCAATCTGACACTTCACGGTGCTTGGACTGTACAGATCGCTCTCAAGTTCTAGCACAAAGCTATAGGAGTAAAATATAGCCTTAATAAAGAGCAGAGAACTGGTGCGGAAAAAGTCTACCACCCCCCCCCCCCCCCCCCCATGAAATCGAATTTATATAGAAAATATATAGAGAAAATATTTACTTTTACCAGTGTCCGCCCCCCGGAAAATGTTGTCCGCCCCACCTCTCCCCACGTAAATATCAAGTGCCCCCCCCCCCCCCCCACTGATTTATACAGCGTTTTGTGTTCTCCTTTGCAAGATGCTTGCGATTTATGTTATTACTTGTCTTTCTGGACTAAACAATAGGACGCCGTGTGGTAGAGGTGTGGCTAACAATGCATGAGGGAGGCCGTCTCACTGGACTAAACAATAGAACACCGTGTGGTAGAGGTGTGGCTAACAATGCATGAGGGAGGCCGTCTCACTGGACTAAACAATAGAACACCGTGTGGTAGAGGTGTGGCTAACAATGCATGAGGGAGGCCGTCTCACTGGACTAAACAATAGAACACCGTGTGGTAGAGGTGTGGCTAACAATGCATGAGGGAGGCCGTCTCACTGGACTAAACAATAGAACACCGTGTGGTAGAGGTGTGGCTAACAATGCATGAGGGAGGCCGTCTCACTGGACTAAACAATAGAACACCGTGTGGTAGAGGTGTGGCTAACAATGCATGAGGGAGGCCGTCTCACTGGACTAAACAATAGAACACCGTGTGGTAGAGGTGTGGCTAACAATGCATGAGGGAGGCCGTCTCACTGGACTAAACAATAGAACACCGTGTGGTAGAGGTGTGGCTAACAATGCATGAGGGAGGCCGTCTCACTGGACTAAACAATAGAACACCGTGTGGTAGAGGTGTGGCTAACAATGCATGAGGGAGGCCGTCTCACTGGACTAAACAATAGAACACCGTGTGGTAGAGGTGTGGCTAACAATGCATGAGGGAGGCCGTCTCACTGGACTAAACAATAGAACGCCGTGTGGTAGAGGTATGGCTAACAATGCATGAGGGAGGCCGTCTCACTGGACTAAACAATAGAACACCGTGTGGTAGAGGTGTGGCTAACAATGCATGAGGGAGGCCGTCTCACTGGACTAAACAATAGAACACCGTGTGGTAGAGGTGTGGCTAACAATGCATGAGGGAGGCCGTCTCACTGGACTAAACAATAGAACACCGTGTGGTAGAGGTGTGGCTAACAATGCATGAGGGAGGCCGTCTCACTGGACTAAACAATAGAACACCGTGTGGTAGAGGTGTGGCTAACAATGCATGAGGGAGGCCGTCTCACTGGACTAAACAATAGGACGCCGTGTGGTAGAGGTGTGGCTAACAATGCATGAGGGAGGCCGTCTCACTGGACTAAACAATAGAACGCCGTGTGGTAGAGGTGTGGCTAACAATGCATGAGGGAGGCCGTCTCACTGGACTAAACAATAGAACACCGTGTGGTAGAGGTGTGGCTAACAATGCATGAGGGAGGCCGTCTCACTGGACTAAACAATAGAACACCGTGTGGTAGAGGTGTGGCTAACAATGCATGAGGGAGGCCGTCTCACTGGACTAAACAATAGAACACCGTGTGGTAGAGGTGTGGCTAACAATGCATGAGGGAGGCCGTCTCACTGGACTAAACAATAGAACACCGTGTGGTAGAGGTGTGGCTAACAATGCATGAGGGAGGCCGTCTCACTGGACTAAACAATAGAACACCGTGTGGTAGAGGTGTGGCTAACAATGCATGAGGGAGGCCGTCTCACTGGACTAAACAATAGGACGCCGTGTGGTAGAGGTGTGGCTAACAATGCATGAGGGAGGCCGTCTCACTGGACTAAACAATAGAACACAGTGTGGTAGAGGTGTGGCTAACAATGCATGAGGGAGGCCGTCTCACTGGACTAAACAATAGGACGCCGTGTGGTAGAGGTGTGGCTAACAATGCATGAGGGAGGCCGTCTCACTGGACTAAACAATAGAACACCGTGTGGTAGAGGTGTGGCTAACAATGCATGAGGGAGGCCGTCTCACTGGACTAAACAATAGGACGCCGTGTGGTAGAGGTGTGGCTAACAATGCATGAGGGAGGCCGTCTCACTGGACTAAACAATAGGACGCCGTGTGGTAGAGGTGTGGCTAACAATGCATGAGGGAGGCCGTCTCACTGGACTAAACAATAGAACACCGTGTGGTAGAGGTGTGGCTAACAATGCATGAGGGAGGCCGTCTCACTGGACTAAACAATAGAACACCGTGTGGTAGAGGTGTGGCTAACAATGCATGAGGGAGGCCGTCTCACTGGACTAAACAATAGAACACCGTGTGGTAGAGGTGTGGCTAACAATGCATGAGGGAGGCCGTCTCACTGGACTAAACAATAGAACACCGTGTGGTAGAGGTGTGGCTAACAATGCATGAGGGAGGCCGTCTCACTGGACTAAACAATAGAACACCGTGTGGTAGAGGTGTGGCTAACAATGCATGAGGGAGGCCGTCTCACTGGACTAAACAATAGAACACCGTGTAGTAGAGGTGTGGCTAACAATGCATGAGGGAGGCCGTCTCACTGGACTAAACAATAGAACACCGTGTGGTAGAGGTGTGGCTAACAATGCATGAGGGAGGCCGTCTCACTGGACTAAACAATAGAACACCGTGTGGTAGAGGTGTGGCTAACAATGCATGAGGGAGGCCGTCTCACTGGACTAAACAATAGAACACCGTGTGGTAGAGGTGTGGCTAACAATGCATGAGGGAGGCCGTCTCACTGGACTAAACAATAGAACACCGTGTGGTAGAGGTGTGGCTAACAATGCATGAGGGAGGCCGTCTCACTGGACTAAACAATAGAACACCGTGTGGTAGAGGTGTGGCTAACAATGCATGAGGGAGGCCGTCTCACTGGACTAAACAATAGGACGCCGTGTGGTAGAGGTGTGGCTAACAATGCATGAGGGAGGCCGTCTCACTGGACTAAACAATAGAACACCGTGTGGTAGAGGTGTGGCTAACAATGCATGAGGGAGGCCGTCTCACTGGACTAAACAATAGGACGCCGTGTGGTAGAGGTGTGGCTAACAATGCATGAGGGAGGCCGTCTCACTGGACTAAACAATAGAACACCGTGTAGTAGAGGTGTGGCTAACAATGCATGAGGGAGGCCGTCTCACTGGACTAAACAATAGAACACAGTGTGGTAGAGGTGTGGCTAACAAGGCGTGGGAGGACACAATGGGAGACGCTATCACCCAAACAAAAAGGTTAGAATTTGCTTTTAAATATGTATAAGTTATAGTACATGTAGAAAACATTAGAACAAGGCAACAAACCGAAAGAAAGCCTACTAAAACAGATGATTGGTTTTGGCAGATGTTCCAGGTTTGGTTGACCTCGATGGACCTGTTACGTCACCAGATAGTCCATTTACGTCACCAGAGAGGTGTAGAACTTGAAACCTCTAGGGTGACAGAACAAGGGATGTCCTATACCATAAAGCAAGGTAAGCTCGTTGATAACAATAAAGAGAACACGTTGATTCGGCATAAGCCAAATGAGTGCTATCCTCTAAACTTTCTTGAATATTTGTATCTAACAGGTAAGGGTGGCAATTTCAGTGAAATCGTGCAATAAAAATTTTTAAAATGTTAAATATTTAAAGTTTTTAAATAGTAAAGTTCCACTTTGATATCTGAAGATTGATAGAGGTTGAATCGAGTAGAATCTGTGGGTGGCGGCCTATCCCTTGCTAGAAAGACAAATTATACGTCAAAGTGAAAATATGGATGTGTTTCACGAAAACATACTTTATCATGCAGTTACTAAAACTTTGGTTTGCTTCAGTGAATAAGGTTGTATAAAAATATGTTTGGGAATTCAGCAAGGCATGTTGGGTTATTTACTTTCAGCTGGAGCCTGTTTTTGGATATTAAAAAGTAAAGTTCCCCTTCCATACCTAACGATGGATAGTGACAGAAGAAGTAGTGTTCACGTGGTTCTTAACATCGTCGTATGATGGGATGTTGTGGTCAGCACTTTGTTCAGTCACCTCCACTTTCCTTAAATTTACTCAAAAACCCAACAGAGCTGGATGGACTCAGAAGACACCCTACAGTCCCAAGTCCCAACCAAGACTTCGTGTTTGTGGCCGAGCGCTCTACCACACGACCACCAACAGTAGGACATATTTGGCTGGTAAGTATGTCTCCAAACAGTTCTACGGCTCAATAAAACGTGCATGAGCCATAGAACTGGTTGGTGACCTAGTTACCAGCCCTATTTCAGAAATAAAAAAAAGGCGCTGTCCTGACAATGTTAGTGGTTCTAATGAAAGCTTCCACCTAGATTCACTACTTGCTGTCCTATAGCCTTGCATGTCACCATTTTTCTTTGTAGCCCCTGGGGAGCAGAGGGCTGAAGTTACACGTTTCTAAGTGGCTGTAGTAAAAGTTCATTTTGGATAACTAAGACATTTTGCATTCGTCTGTTTCAGTTTTTTCCAGGATGGAACATTATATACCTTCATTGAACTTCTTTCTATAGAAACCTTCGCCCACGATATGAAATTATGTGGTCATGTAAACAAACTCTGAAGGTAAACAAGTGTACAGTTGAAGCGCCCATCCCCTTCTTCTACACGCAACTACAACAAAGACGTGTTCGATTAAAAATATACTCCTTAAGATAAATTCGTTTTTATCAAAACTACTAATCTTCATTAATATTTCTTTAACATAGATTAGTTTTAAATTCAAGTCACGTTACAAGATCCTTTGTACAACATGATAAAAATCCAACATCATTTACTTGTTAATAACATTTTTGTGAATTTCAATTTACACAGGGTAAAAGTTATTTTAAAAAATAAATAATGAGTAAAATTTCAAGAAAACAACCTCTTTGCTTGCCTGAACATCTCATGTAATGTATCCCTGTACCTGCTGCTCATCTTGTAGTAGACCAAAGCGTTAACGCTGGCAGTGATGGTCTCCGTGTAGATAGAGACGGCGTACACCAGCTCCATGATGTAGAAACGGTTCCCGCCTGTGTCTAGCGACCTGTCTATGCTTGCAGCCGCCAGTAACGCAGATTTAGGCAACAGACTGCAGATAAATATCACAGATACTGTCATCAACATCTGTACCAATTTCGTTTCTTTACTGCTCAAGTGCGCTAATCGTTTATCACTAATTTGCGAAACAGTTTTGCGCCAGTTGAATTTTTGGCGGAGTGATACGGCGAGGATTAGATTACAAAGGATGAGGGTTACAAAAGATATAAACGGTACTGCCAGGTCGGCTATCCAATAAGCGACACTGACAAGTGCTTGTCTGAAATCGCGGTATCCCATTTGTAGAACAGTTCTGTTCAACTTAGCTGAGTACCTCACGTCTAAGTAACTCACGTAGTATAGAGGAAAGACCGTTAGCGTCATGGTAACAAAGATGACGATGTTTGTTATTGTAGCAACCTTTGTTGTGATGATGTTTTTAACTTTCATCGGCGCGATGACGCTCAGACATTTTTCGAATGCCGCGAAAGCCGTGACGTAACCACAGACCCGGATGAAATATTTCCCTGGGTAGGTAGAGAACATAGCAATGACGTCAGATTTGACGTAGGTGGTGTCCGTGTTGTCGTAAAACGGGTTCCAGAGGATGTTGTAGACGCGTTGCGTCAGCAGGGTGCCGATGTCGCAGACGGACAGCGCCGTGAGGGTGATGTTCATGGCTTGGTTGTAGCCGTGTCGGGAGAAGATGATGATGTTGATGATGTTTCCCAGGATTCCCAGCACGCCGAGGGTTGGACCAATCACGGTGTACATGACGTACAACATTGATGACGTAGCTCTGGTCAGTGCTATGGTCGTGTCGGTGGCTACCAGAGTAGCGTTAGATGTCGCCATTTTTGTTATTTTACTAAATCCTTTTGTTATCTATTTAAATTATTTACACCAGCAACTTACAAATACACTCGCTATAGTTCTGAGTCGCCATCGCTTTTATTGATCTTTTTAATACATCTTTTAAATATTTTTTCAACTTGCTTTAGCATGAAATACCTTTTATTCAAACACTAATGAACTCAGTTTCGCTTTAGGAATTAAATATTTATTTTTAAATATTAAAAAACTGAATAAAATATACGATAAATCTTCGAAAGTGTACAACATTTACTACAATTTTCTTCAAAAGTTGAACAATTACATAACAAGCTTAGAACAATAAATTAAACTATCTTTATATCTATAGCTGCAAACTCATTGTTGTATTATTTTATAAAACTAGATCAAAACATTTTTACTTCGCTAGAGCAAACGTTCCATTGAAGAATAGTATTCATTGTCTCAGATTTTAAGTTTTAATAAATTAAATGACGAAACAGTGTGGGTCAATTCTATTTTTTATTTCCTAAAATAATTATAATTACAATATTTAGTTGCTTAATTTAAATTCTATTTAAAAATATGACTTCAGTTTTTTTTTTTTTTTTACATCAGTCTAGAGCGATAGTCAGGCAATAATTATTGAACATAAATCTTGTAATTAGACAAGATAGTTGCCGTGTTTTAGAGGTAATTATTTTCTTCACTCTTTAAATTCATGTCATTGAATTAATCGCTATCGTACCACAAGACTTAAATACCCCATTCAAACCAATTCGATTCTGTAACTGATCATTTCTTTTCTGATTACATATTATTTAATGGGTCGTTCAACATAGCTGATATTGATCGGGTGGTTTTTTATATTTATTGTTTTTTACATTGTCTTTGCTTTTACTACAAGTCAAATATGTCCATTGATTGTTTATTTCAGAGAATCCACTAACATGTTCGTAACCAGGATAAGCGCGGGACGGCCAGAGTGTTTTCAGACGTCAACTAGAACTGTTGGTGTTGGAACTACCTGTTTACATGATAAACTAAAAGGACTATTGCAAATGACATTTTTATAAAACTACCAGTATAAATAAAAACTTAATAGGACCATTGTAAATACCATATTTATAAAACTACCAATATACATCACAATTTAATAGGACTTTTGTAAATACCATCTACATAGATGTGGAAAATTAAAGGAGTCAGTGATATTTTCAAGATGACGCTATTATCAGTAAGAAGGATACGGGGTCGGCGTGGTCGAGTCGGTAAAGCTCGTGGTTGCTAAACCGAAAAGTCTAGAGCATAACCAGTTGACACGTATCCTTAATTTTGATGCAGGCGTGGTCGAGTGGGCAAAAGCTCATGGTTGATAAATTCGAAAAAGTCTCGAGTTCAAACCCTCTGGCAGATAAGGCTCGATCCCTTCCAACACTAAAAATTAAGAACGAAGTAAGAAGGATAATAGGATTCAGTGATTTGTTAACTAAGAGTTACTCATATTTCTTGTCCAGGAAAATCATCTGAATAAATGGAAACGGTAAGTGCGGTGAATTTTGCTGAATTAGTGATACAACTAAATTGTACTTGGTATCCTCACAATGAAAATCTCTCGTAATTTATTTGTTAATAGTTTGTCTTTTACTTTACTTTAGTTCCAGAAATTTAGACTCTGTAAAAGTATTGACATAAAAAAAAAATTGGCCCGATGACTAAATACAAAATTCAAACTCGATATCTGCCTGTGATCATCCAATAACAGTGATTTTAACATTCAAAAGTTAATTAACATTTCAGATGACTTTGTATTATGTGTAAATTAGTCGTTTACTTGTATCTGTGAAATGTAACGCCCGTTTTTTGAATGTGGTATGTAAATTGAATGTATGCTAAGTATGAGTGAAAATACATTAAATTTGTATTTGTTGTACAAATTAGTAAATTAAGTATTTCTGACACTTGAAAATAAGTGGAGCAACAATGCGTGATGAATAGTTATCTAATATATCTTTTTTTTTTTTGTAGAAACAAATAGTTAAAAATGTGGTCTAAGTAAAATATCTTTATTTTAGTTTTTTTAAGCACGTTCTAACAAAAACAGAAAAAAATGTGTGCACAATTAATGCAGTATATTAATAAAAATGCATATTTTAATGAATTTTTTTTTAAAAAATCGAATAATGATTTTAAATTTAGAGACGCTGGCTGCATCTCCTTTAAATATTTATCTTAAGAATTCATAAAATAGGTAATGTCGGCTAAACAACAACTTTCAAGTGTGGGAAAAACGAAAACAATATAGTGTCGACAAAACGGCAACTATGCAGTGTCGGGAGAAAAAGGACGCATGTAAGGTCAACAAAACGGTAACTATGTAGTAATGGCAAAACGGCAACACAAGTGCATTTTTTTGTTGTATGCTATTTGTGAATGTTAGACTTTGAGACGTATTACTATTGCCATGTCTATTTTCTTTGATGGTGGTTTTGTATTAAATCACTGTATCTGTTATATAGATATATTGTTAAGATTGCTGTGAGAGAGTTTTACAAGTCCATACCATTATTGTCGGCGTTCCACTACCAATATTCCTTGGTCACTGATCACGTGGAAAAACTAGATATGATATTTATTTATTTCTGGTTTTGAGTTTTCTTATTCCAAGTACTAACACCGTCAGTTTAGTATCCGAATTGACTGGTCATTGATAGGACACAGATTTCCTTACACACCAACAGCATAACCCGAACTCAATAGCATTCATTCTATGGCAACAGCATTCATGACACACCCGAACCGACATTCGTTTGCACCAAATTGTACTCATAGAACATGCATCAGAACATATATGATATCGTTTGTCCAGTATTCTATTGTGGAAAGCATTTGCAACCATTTCTACCTCAAGCTTGTAAAGTGAACTACATCAAGTATGTGTATAACTATGTCAACAAGTACTTTTAACGTGATAACATATTTTGTTGATTAGTTTTATTTAGTGTTTTTATTTGTGTATGCCATTCTGATTTTATTTTAAATATTATATTATATTTTTAATTTCTTTTAAGTCATTCTGTTCTCATTAACTATATCGTTTTGTTTTATTTAAAATAGTTTATTTATATGTTAGTTTAATTTTAAGTTATTCTGTTCTCATTAACTATGTCGTTTTGTTTTATTTAAAATATTTTATTTATTAGTATGATTTTTAAGTCATTCTGTTCTCATTTACTCTATCGTTCTGTTTTATTTTAAATATTTTATTTATTTGTTAAATTAATTTTAATTCATTCTGTTCTCATTTACTCAATCGTTTTGTTGATCTTATTTACAAGCAGTTATTTCCGGACAATTCAAATGTACATTGTATCTTGTTCTATCCATAATTGGTTAAGGGATAAATTATTTCTTTTTATCTCGAATTTGAATATCTAGTTTCAGCTGATATGTATCTCTTCAAACTGTTTGCATTTTGTTCCCATGTATGCGACATATATTTATATATGGCTCCATATTCTAATAGACCACTGGGTAATTGCTTATTCCCAAGCACAAAGCCGGGGCCCTTAGTTGACAAGAGCCAGATGTTGCCCATGTATCAGACCCCCTCTCTCACAGATGTTGCCCATGTATCAGACCCCCTCTCTCACAGATGTTGCCCATTTATTAGACCCCCTCTCTCACAGATGTTGCCCATGGATCAGACCCCCTCTCTCACAGATGTTGCCCATGTATCAGACCCCCTCTCTCACAGATGTTGTCCGTGTATCAGACCCCTTGAATACATTTACAACGTTAGATATTATAGTTTATACGTAAATTATCGCTATTCATATTTCATTCCATGTAAAATCTAAAAGTAAATTTCTCACAAAACCACAGAAGCAATGGTATTATTTATTTGTAGTGTAATAAGATTTTAGAGTAAACGAAAACTTTAACGTAGAAAATATAGGCATAGGTATGTTTGAAATAAAACTATACATATTTTCGGTAAAACATATACTTTTTGCTACACTATTTAGATTTTATATCGAATTAAAAATGAATAGATTTAGAATTATGAATTGCAATAATTTACGTATAAACTATAATATTTAACGTTTTAAATGTATGGCTTAATGTGCATAACAATCTAAATAAAATTATATCTGAAATTTAAAAAAACATATAGAGTCTACTTAGAATTTCAGAAAAATATTATTGACAAATATTTTATTCTTATACGAATTGCAATTCATACAACTGTGTTGTATCTTAAGTTAAAAATCACTGCATTCAGTGCTGAAAGATACATGAAAAAGATTATATAGCTTTTATTATTATCATATATATGAAAACTTTACCTTCCTTCAAAAAATAATGTTGTATTATGTTAATTAACAATCAATAAAAAAATAACTTTTTTTTAATTATCACAGTAACGAATATTCTGTAACATTGTTGATTTTACAATAAATAAAACATATTTAATAATGTTAAACAGCGCCGTTTACACAAAGTTGTAATATTTACATATTAAAAATTTTTAGAACATTAAATTAAAATTTATTTTTCGCTTTAGTTAGCGTTTCAGCACAGTTTACGTATTGGTAATTTTGTGTATATTTGTTTCGAGTTGCGATGATTAGTATACTGTAGTGTACGTGTTAAATAGTGAAATGTTGTTGCTGAAGTTTTATATAAAGTTTATTTTAGATGTTAATTTAAGTAGAAGCTATAATTAATTGCTTAGCATTTTGTTTAGTTATAGTTTAATTTATGTAGGACTAGTTATTCTGTTGCTACAGTTAGATGTTGTAGTTAGAATCAGAGCAAGGTTTAAGTTTGGATTTGATTTCGTTATTTTTCGTTTATAAAAGAGCATAAGCCTGTATGTTTTCGTATGTGTATTTTTTTATGTTACAGGGTATGCATATGTTAACACAACCAAAATCTTTAAAATACGAGTGTACGTATAGAGGCGTGATTCCTTGCCAAAGTGTGAGGGGTTCTAGGATAAGTTTGTGGATTAAAGCCGT